GTTAACTGTCTGGTTTTTACTGGTAGAGCAGTCTAGTTGAAAGCGGCTCTCATCCAGTCCATCCAAAACAAAGAGAAGTTTAAATTTACTTTTGTCATAGTTGGTGTTTCCCGATAACTGCAGAGTTGTAAAGATGTGATTAAGAGCTTCTTCCTTGATGCATCTGGTCTCTGTAATACAACGATGAATCAGTTCTGCCAAACACAATTTTTCTTCCTTCCATAGATTCAGCTGGCGGAAGGTGAAGGGGAATACCAGATGCACATCTTGATTGGCTCTTCCTTCAGCCCAGTCCAACACAAACTTGTGCACAAGAAATGTTTTGCCAATTCCTGCAATTCCATTGGTCAGCACAGTTCGTATGGGTTTATAACTCCCAGAGGGGGGTTTGAAGATGTCACTGGGTTTAAGTGGTTTCTCTGTTTCAGCTGGCTTCACCACAGCCTCAATCTGCCTGACCTCATGCTGTATGTTGATATGTATGGCAGCCCCAGCTGTGATGTACAGCTCTGTGAAGATTTCATCCAGAAGCTGCTCATCCTTCTTCTGAGCCCACCCCTCTTGTGCACACATAAACTTATCCTGGAGGTTTGACTGAAGTAAGTGTTTGTAATGTGAGATGGGTTGTGGCTCTGGTTCTGGAACAATCACATCTGTGTTACATAAATAGAAAAATCATAGAATTAGGCTGCATGTCTACAGTAAAAGCTTTTATTTTGCTAAAGGTTCGTTTCTGAAGAGAAACTAAGAAGAATTTGGAACTTGTATTCAGAGATATGTAGTTGCTAAGTTAACGTTTAGGTTTGAACCCATCCTTCTCTTTTGTACACCTACACATACCTATCACATTTAAGTGCAAGCATTTTAGATATAGCCATAGTATTTCTTAAAATAAATCAGGTTGTCCACCACTCTTTTTGTTTAGTGTAATTAATTCAATTACAAGATTATTAATACTAAATACTAGTGGTTTAAAATTTGATTAGATTTGCTTACTATAAGATTAGTATTTTTTTTTCTAGATAAAAACCTGAATAGTCCAGGGTTAGAACCAACCTTCACATTGAGAGTAATGTATGTTAACTAGTAAGCGTCTATATAAACTGACACGTGGTGAGGTGTCTTTGACATCACAATGTCCATCAGTGGACAGTACGTCAAGCCGTTCAAACATTTTTAACTATCCAGAATTAACATTACAGATCAAATGTGTCATGGTGACTAGTCCAAATTTTTATTCAAGATATCTTTAATGTTATCAAAACGACAGTTAGAGATTTCTGTAATTGACTTTGAACTTGTCAATACTGAATTATTCTGTAAGTTTTCATAGCTTCCTGGGCCTTTGTTAAGAAGTTAATGTAATGCTTTTATTACTCTAAGACCTTTAAGTTATAATGTCTCACACAGAAAGTAAACTCAAACTCAAAACTTCACTTTGTCCTTCAGGGCTTCCGTACATACCAGAGATTCCAGCAGCTTACCTTCACACTGAGAGGAGGAAGGTCCTCTGTTCTCTCCAACATCACTGACCTCCACTGACACACACACACAAAGACAGAGAGAGACATCAATTAATTATTGTTTTATGTTTTTGTTTATTAATACACACACACACACACACACACACGTTAGTGTTTCATTTATTTATTTTATTTTAATTAGGGCCCGAGCACGACCGTGCAAATCCCTATTGAATTTGCTAAGATTATATATATATATATATATAAAAATTTCTGCAAAGTAAGCTCCATTGTCGGGGCCTAAACATACTCGAAAACTCACCAAACTTTGCAAACATGTCAGAACTGGAGAAAATTGTTTTTGTATTTTATGGGTTTCGCACATGGGCGTGGCAAAATGACTCGCTAGCGCCACCTAGAAAATTGGAAAAGATTATCCCCTCGTTCACGTTCAACCTACATGTACGAAATTTTCTGGGGACATTTATCATATCAAGACGCACAAAAAAGCCTCAAGAACCCATAGCCTAAAGTCAACAGGAAGTCGGCCATTTTGAATTTTACGGCCATTTTTGGATGATTTACACACTTCGTACTTTAACGAACTCCTCCTAGGGATTTAGTCGGATCGACGTCAAATTTCTGCTGTGCCTTCTAAAGGCATTGACGATGAAAAGTTGTGCTATTTGCAAGTTTTCGTCAATGGGCGTGTCCATGGCGTCGATGAATCGCTATGAAACAGGAAGTTGTTGTAACTTCAGTGTACATGCTCACATCTGCACCAAACTGTGCAAAGTGCGCTACAAGTGCGAGGGCCCGCCCAACGCTGCTTGCAGCTTTAATTTTATTTATAATATATATTTATTTTTGTACACACACACGCGCTTTGATTACTTTATGCTTTAATTACCTGTTTAATGAAATGTATGGGGTTGATTGTTCTTATGTAGTTTGTATGATGCTTTAGCAATATTGTTGTTACACATTCATGCCAATAAAGCTAATTTGAATTTGAGAGATAGCGAGACAGATTATATTTGCAGTTTGACTTATTACTTATTATAACTTCAGGTTTAGCTGCTTCTGAATGGACAGATGAACTTCGAACAGGTCAGAGTTAGTTATATACAGTATATATTTCCTCTTAGCGTCTATTACATCAAGTCCATCAATATATCAACCTCATGTCCACAACTGCATTCATCAGTCATTAGGACATCTCATTGGTTATTTACTCAAGACATAAAAACACATCAAGTAAACCATCCACATTACTCAGTGAAATTAATATCTCCCAGTTTCTCAAACCAAGGAGAAAATAAAGGAGAATGAAATCAGGCCATTCATCATAACCATTTCTCATAATAACGAGATCGGACCTCAACTTTTACTCTTTGGTGAATGTAATGAGGTTCTGTACTGAGAGACCCAGTTCCTTTACAAGTATGAATGAAAATACGAATGTAAAAATGTTGACTGACCTTCTGGTCCTGAGCTGGTGTCCGGCAGACTCTGCACCAGGTCGTTCCTGGATATCTTCTCTAAAACCTTCTTGGTCACCTCCAGAGGTCCATGAGGTTTATAGGCGTTCACCATCAGGTCCACTGTTTTCAACCTGTCTGCCTTTTCCAGATCGCACTCTTTGATGGTCTGGTAGTCTCCCAGGAAGTCACGCTGCTTCAGATACCATTTGAACTTTGTAAATTCCTCCTCTCTTAAATCCTCCAGAGTGTTCAAAAGGTCCTCTGCAGTCATCATGGTTCCCTGCTAAAATCAGGCAGTGTTGTCCACCTGAAGGAAAACTGTAACACAAATGTATCAGAGCAGCAACAGGAGCTCTGATTGGCATATTTATATAAACATATTTGTAAAACTAGGTAGCAACTTGGGAGTCCAAAAAAGCTCACTGTAGACAGTCAAAAATTGGTTACCCAAGTTACATCTTGGTAGGCTTCAAGACCAACTAAGGAACAACTCACAAATATCTTATAGCCCTCGATCTCCTCCTACTTTAGGTGCCCTTGTAAGATTTCCACTCCAAAATCTTCTTCCTGATTAGTTTTCTATTCCTGAATTCTCTACCAGGTTTTTTTCCATTGTTTATTCTGGAACTTCGGTAATCGGTAATATTTTGCACCATCCAGGTACTGTTTTTAATTCACTTTTTCATTCTTATTCTTATTCACAGATCTTTTGCCAAACTGTGTAATTTCCTTGATATGCTTTAGCATTTACTGTTGGCTTTAACAGCGTTTATACTTGTGCACAGTTTACTTTAATCTAAGACAGTGTGTCAGAATACATTTGACAAAGATTAAAGCATTTTCTAGTTCCACAGTTACTGCAAATCAAGCACTTAATGTTTCAAAATCGAACACTCTTTGTTATAAGTTTCAACAGATGGTTTTCAGTGGTCACATGTTGGTGGACTTCCTGGTACCTTTCAACACGTGGACTCCCTCTCCTCTGTATTATTCACAAACTCTCCAAGCCTTTTGCTTATGTGTACCGTTAGGGTGGTGGTGACAGTGGATAAGACACATGTCTTTAATCCCACCAATGCTCGCACCTGGCCTCTTATCTACTTCACTAAGGAATACATGCTCATCACGAGAGACTCATAATACAGGGAGAAAAAAAGCATACAAAGAGAGTGGCTTAAACCTTTAAACACATCAAAACCCAATATATACACATTAAGACATTACGTGTAGTGTTTCTTGTATAGAAAGAGTGTCCATCAGAGTGGTTTAAACAAAAGCGGCTAAGAATGTACTATATAGTAACTATCCTGTAGATAGTAAATAATACACATCACAACATTATTTCTTAGATTAATGTAAGTGTTATGGGTTGCATAGTTATTGCTAACTTGACCACAGAGCCCTATGCATGCAAAAACAACACTAAAGGGTACCCAGAGTGTTAAAAAGCAACGCCAACAACACCTGACCAAGAATGAGAATGTGTTGTTTGAAGTTGCAAATTTGGAATTTTGGCTGTCACCATCTAGACTTTTGGGTGCCAGAAGCAGGCTAGGACTAACAATCTGGCAATTCTGCCACCAGCAATGTGGGGAAAAGGAAAAAGGTGGAGTGGAAAGGTTCAGAGAGAAAAATAACAACCATCTCGAGGCTGATGCTGCAAAATGTTGATTAGTCACCAATGTCAGTGCCAGTAAAATGTAAGCCAGCTGCAGTGATAATTAGCCCGACTGATATGGGATTTTAAGTCTGATGCATTCATCATTTATAACATCATAACATTGCCCCTTATAAGTTTTTGGTGATCTTTTACATAATATATTGGATATCACAAATTTCCGTTCCATTGTACTGTACTATTGTATTCTTGTGATTCTGTTTTTCTCTTGTGTTTTGGCCTGCCTGCCTGTGTCTCATCTGCTCCCCTTGCTCGTGTTCTCCCTCCCTCTCTCTGCTCCTGAGCACAGCTGACAATCCGCACCTGCACCTCGTCAGCCACCTCCTCTGCCTGCCACACCTGCCAGCAATCAACTCCATCCCTGCCAGTATTTCAACCCCAGTTCTCCACACAGTCTCTGCTTGATCGTCATCGCTCCTAACCTGGTGCCCTTGTGTTTCCCTGTTCTTAGTTTTCCCTGTGTCTAACCCTGTCTGTCTGTCTCTTTGCCTTTCCCCAGGTTCACTCACCCTTGTCCTCCGTCGAGTCAGCTGGGCTCGCCCACCTGCCCTCTCCCCTCGGACTTCCGCCACGGCGTCCTCCCGGCTCTCCCTCGTGCCTCGCCACTCAGCCGGCCACCACACTCCTCCACCAACCCCCCTGGTCAGTTCTTTCACGCCTCCTCTCTTCCTCGGTCCCCAGTGTCCCCCTCGGCTCCCTAGTCACGGCCTACTCTCACCTTCTTGCTCCTCAGCCCCCCGTGCCCGTGTTCCCCGGCGACCACCTCTCCCTCACCGGAGCTCCCATAACCCCTTCTTTACCTCAATAAAATCTGTTTCAACCTGAGCGTTGCTTTTGGGTCCTCATCTGTCCAACACACATAACAATACGGTACTTAATTTGATACCTTGCATAAAATACCAACTGTTGAAGCCATAGTAGTTGATTGGTAGCCTAAAATAATTTTATGGTTATAGACAAGCAAGGAGATCTATTTCTTTTTTTCAAATAACTAATTATTAACTTAATTACTGGATTAGTTTACAACAGCAAAGTTAATATAAACTTAATATCTGACATCACAATACGGATGTTTAGAAAGAATAAAAAAACTCTGTAAGCATATTCCTCCTCTCTACTGTTAACTGCCTTTAGATAATGTTACCTGGTAGAAGGAGGAGCGGTTGGTTTGTCTCAGCCAGAGTTTTTAACAATGTGCCAGATTTTAAAACTACAGACCAGTCTATGCTCCAAACAATCAACTTTCTATTTAGCTTGTTTTTAACATTTGGCTAGTTGCTAGTTGTAGCTGTCGGCAACTTGAGTAGTTTGGAGCCAACTTAACATCACAGTCCCAACCGCAATGGAGCGTCTCTCTCTGCAGGGCGCTGTGTGTGTGTATTCATGTAGGAGCCGAAAGAGAGCAGCACAAGCTGCAGGCCAATGATAAACCAACACCAGGCCGGTTTGATTCCGCATTTCAGTGCCATCAATAAAAAAACATTAGTTTTCTTACCCATCGCGTTTCAAGTCAAATCGGACTTGACTCTGGAGACATAACGTTACATTATATGACCTGCTAGTCTCGACAGCAGTATCGATAAGCTCAAACCGGACCCAACGTGAGGCCGATGTGCACAGCTGTAGGATTAGCCGGTCGACATGCATATATTCAGTGACCAAGGTTTAGGTTCTAACACTTCTGATGGTTGTGGAAAGGGTAGGGCTTCGGGGGGCTGTCAACACCTTTATCACAAATGTACCGCTAGCTAGCACTTCCAGTCTGTACGGGACGACCCAGAGCATCTCATAGAGACGCTTCCGGAAGAGTCTCATGGAGACACACACGGTGCATCTCACACGTCAAATAACTACGCTTTGTCACTCTTTCTCAGATCATCGGTATATGATACCCTGAGATGAGAACGGGCTGGATTTTCAGGTTTTGAGAACTGGGTCTCGATCCCCATCCCTAAAGAAAACACTGCCTCTCCAAACTTAATGTTAGAGAATATGGGTAAGTGTCTTGTAGAGTGAAATCTGTCTTCTGCTTGTTATTTAGTGCTAGAGGTAAAAGCAGACAGTAGATGATGAGAAACTCCAGCAAAGACACGGGCTGTAACTTTATGGTCACACCCCACATAGCAAACTGACTCCATACACTACCCGGATCCGATCTGGCCCCTTTCACAAAGTGGCACATCCGGCCGGATCTGATCCGGACCTGTTCAGGAAGTGGCTTACCCGGCCCGGATCTGATCCAGACCCGTTCATAAAGTGGCATCTGGTCAAAACTGGCTATAGAAATATCTAAAATCTAGCTGACCAACATCTACTGTTCTGTATAAAAGCTTAAATACTTCTTATAACCTTTAAGCCACCCTGCGGTTCTTTAGTTAAATGCCTTTACCGTGAAGAAGCAGAAAATAGGAAATTTGACTTTGTATTAGCAACTTAATACAGCTCTGCTATGGCCGTAAGAGAGCCATCAGTTATCAGCGATGCGACTGTCAGATAAAATAACTGGGGATCTTAAATGCATTGTTTCGTTACGCAGTTTTTATCCAAAGGTGGACTGCCAGTAAAAACTAAATCCTCTATCAGTCAAAAAACGTCTTTACAGATTGTAAATACATTGAATACTATGTATTACTGGACAAATGAAATGCAACCATAAAAATTATCAAAAATATTTTTTATTTAATGAAAACCTCAAGGATTATAACTTTAACATGTTTCAAGACAGGTAGAAACCCTACATACCAAAATACTTTTTTTAAGGTGAATTAACAGTGGGCTGATCTTCCATAAGGATGCTGATAGGGGCACACCTGGAGCTTCTTCCCCTCTGCTGCCAGGTTGAAACACCATATTTTCTGCTTTAGGATATCATCTGTGGCAGCACGGGAGAGATGACTCTTTCTCACACAGCATCTGTAATCACACAAGGAGATTTTCATACAAAATTTCATGAACTCCTATTGCAACCAACAGTTTTTACAAAAGCATACACGCTGACCACCACATATTGATTTTTCTTTACTAGGCCTATTTAAAATAGCATTTGATTGCAGAGCGTTGTAACGCGGCACATCTCTCTCTCTCTCTCTCTCTCTCTCTCTCACATGAACACCGCTGCACAAATGAGTCCAGCACAACGCGGTCAATGACGGAGACCCACCTTAAAAAAGTTATAAGCATGTAAGGAGCCTAGCTAAGGTTAAAACAGTGTAAAGTATTGAAACAGGTGGAAATGCATTAGTTGTGTTTGACTTCATGCAGTGCTGACTTAACGTGATACATGTTGGACATAAAATAAGGCATGATGGTTAGAAATTGTGTCCGACTTTCGCCGGCGCTGCAAAACGGCACCATGTCACATGACATTTAAACCTTGCGGGAGATGGCAGCTACAGGCGCCGGGTCCGGCAGCTGTAGTTGCTTTTCTCCGTCTGCTTAAAGTTGGAACCACTTTTGTCTGATCTTCTGGCATTTTCCTTTGCAAATGCCGCGGGATCAGTCATTGATCTCAGCTCACACAGGTAGAATGTGTCCGACTCGACTTGATCTAGTCGGCGAAAGTCCTCTCGAACGCACCTAATATTTCTTCCTCACCAGCTTTGCGCAGCACTCCCTGCGATTGGCTAGTACTCGTTGTCTCCGCTGGGTAGGATGGCTGAGTTTAGGATTAGCCAATCAGAGGCAGAGTAGGGGCAGGCTCAAAGCTGGTGGAGGGGGAATAAGACGGTGGAAACAGCCTGGCTTTGTCCACATGTCATAAAACTTTCACTGCCCCTCTAAAGATCACTAATCAACACTTTATATGTTATTCACAGTAGTTTATTCTAAACAAAAAACAAATTATAACAAAGTGGTTTTGTAATTAACTATATATTGGCCACTACCTGGAACCAGCAGAGCACTTCAGCTTTTGAACACATTAAACAAACAAGGTATTTTCTGGAGATTAAGATAGTGTTCAGACCGAAAACAGCACTGCGTTCAAAAAACTTGGTGGAGGCGTGTCCTCATGTGCCGATCACCCAGGAAGGCTGGTTGGAGTGAAAGATCCATGCGTTTTAAGGCTTGTTAGCTGTCAAAACACTGTATAACTGTTTATAATATTATGAGAAACTATATAACAACTCTGGAAAGTAGTGCGGCAAAATTATTTTATCTTGCATGACAACAAAAATCATAATTTAACTGTCAAGTTTCAGAGTCTACCAGAAATATGTATTAGTAGTAGTAATGTGTATCTTGGCAATTTTTTGCCAACAGACCCTGCAATGTTTTCTGAAACCCCCTGCGTTGACTCCCAATCCTCTGCGTCGATTAATAAGCATGGTTGTGTTTATTTAAAGTAGTGCTAATGCCAGTTTGAACACTTCCCAAGACTGCTGTGTGACTTCAGATTGTTTTAAATATATATTACAATTACTTACACAGGAGCAACGTGTGTTGCATAGTGATCCCTTTCCAATTTATCCTCTTCCCAACATCATCATGGAACATGTGGGCAAGGATGTACCACGTGGAACGTTTTCTGTTGTGGCCCCTCTGGCTTCCAGGAAGAAAATCTAAAATTAAAAAAGTACAAAAATATCAATTTTTTTTTTTTATCATGCAACCAGGTGTAAATACTGTGTTAATTAGATTTTTTTATTTTTTTTTATTCCCAACACCTTGGTAATCAATTTTTAAATCGGCCAAAAGAAATATGTATGTATTCATGTATGTATATAGTCCAGCAACTTCAACAGAATGAGACATCCTCTACTAAAACCATCAGCTGATCCACAGTTTCAGTAGAAAATAAATAAAATACTAACAAAAATATATATAATACAGTGTTTCCCACACGTAGGCCCCCGGTAGATTAACAGCCGTTCAAGTAAATTTGGTGACCCATTTTAAAATAGTTTGATAGCAGCGCTGCGCAAATTCGCTCCGCACATCCTCTCACTCGGTCGCTCTCTCTCTTTAACACGGACAACAGACCCGTCTGTGAATTGAAAGGTTGGCATCAGAAACAACGCTGCACAAATCTGTCCATCACAACGCTGTCAGTGTCGGAGACCCATCTTCAAAACAGTTATTAGCAAGCATGTAAGGAGCCCAGCTAATAAGGAGAGCTAAGTTAACTTTGGAAAACAGCTGTCGAAGTTAGCACGCTATAACTGGTAGTCAACAGGTGCGTTTGAGATAACTGGCTGACTTTCGCCAACTTCATAGACAGGGGAATAAAAACAGCTCTGCCTCTGGTAGACTGCGTGAGCAGGATTTGCTCCTACAAGGTCTAGTGATGTTTAGCAGCGCAGGTGTTGTGCTGAATTCTGCCTGCCTGCCGTGAATTCATTCACCTCGTGAATTTATACTGAAAAAAAGAGGTGGATGCAAATCTCGGCAGGTAACGTTAGCCTACAACATCCGTGTTGCCGAATTATGCATTCACTTATTAAGGTCCTTTTCAGACACTTTGCTGTTCACATTGTTTGAACGTGGTTAACGCCACGTTTTTGCTGAATTTCAAGAAATGGTAAGCTACTTTTAGAAGTGTAATAATATGTTAACGATTCTTAACTTTCATAAAATATATGTTGATCAGTTCTCACTATTGATGAACCCCACAAAGAATAGTAGAGAAAGAGAAAAATTAGAGAAAGCCTCATTCTGTTGGAGTTGTTGGAGCTACATAAACACTAAGTCCACTGGGTTGGTCAACTTAAATCATTGAATAAACGTTTGTTAGCAACAACTGCATGACTTGATCTTTCTCATTTAAAACAGCGACATGGTCGGCTAAAAGGGGGATGGCGCTATCTGAATGTTTTGTAACGTTACAC